CTCAAGGYTGTGGCATTCAATCCCTCAAAACCAGACAAATGTGGGTGATCCGCCTGCTCCTATAGAGCCACCGCCAGACTGGAGCATTCGGGACCAGGGGAAACTCAGCCCCGAGCTGGGACAGCACAGCAGGATCACTGCAACATGCCCTCAGCCTCCACGAGATGCATTCATCTTGGAAATTTATCTCAGGAGGGCTGGATTCAGCCAAGAGCCCTGCGATGAAGGAGCTGCACGCTGCCAGCCCATCCACACTGTTAACACCTGCAGCTCCTTTGATATTATTCCTGCTTTTGACAAGTGGGCGATAGCGGATATCCTTTAAGCCCATATTTAATGAAGCCCTCCATAAATCCATCAACACTTGCTAAGGGAAACTACAATAAAGTTCTCTGCGCTGCCGAGAACATTTGGCATTCTCATAATGAAGTTTGAGAGCAGACAGTGCTCACGCTGCTCTGAGGAAGTGCAGTCTTTGTGCGGGATYTTTTTCTTCCTCGCATAATTACATGTTGTGGACCCAGAAGAAAACAACCCTTTAGCACCTAATTTTTAAAACSGTAATAGTCAAACTGTCGTTCAGCTAGGACAGCTGTCAACTTTAAGAAATGCAGAAAGAGAAAAGCTTTCTAGACAAATAAACTCCCACTTGCATTTTATATTTGTATTTTGTTAGTTCTTGAAATGATCTGGATATTAGCTGTTCTGTGAATTCTTGCCATACTGTTTTTGTGTTACACCTCCTGTGAGAGTGATAAAAAAAAATGTAAACCTCTAAACTGAAAATATTTGTTACGTGTTTTATATTTGCAACTTTCATAAAAACAAACAAAAAAAAAAAACAACAAAACCAAAACCCTACATAAGTGTTTATTTTGTCATTTAAAACTGGGAGAATTGAAGGGGAAACAGAAGAATAAGTAATGAAGGAATTTGATGTTTTTCAAATCTGGACATTGTGAGTTGAGAGGGGTGGAGTACTTTGAATAAATACAGAAATTCAGGTACCTCAAGGCAGCAAATCACCTGCTGAACTTTAAGGACCTAAGTAATCAAACTGGTTTCATGGGAAAAAAAATCTGTGTATAAAAAAAAAAAAAAAGCTATGTTTGGTATTCTGAACATCTAGACAGCATGGAGACAAATTTTTCTAAAACAAATTTTGTCAAGTGGATCAACAGGACTGTGAAGGGCTTTAAAGCCAATCCAGGTAACTTGATTTAAATAATATCTTTGCCATCACACGCACAGGACTGCAAAGCCAGGGAGAATCTGGGATGTGAACCTGTAAATGTGTGAATGAATCACTGCATCAGAATACAGGTTGTCATTCACTACCCCAGCCATTCCTCCTGCATCCCCTTCTGCTCACAGCACCCCATGGTTTGTGTGCCTGGCCCTCAGATTCTYGTGGATTCATAACCTGGCTGCTTTGACTTTTGGCCAGCTCACTTTGCTCAGTTTTGTCCCTGCCTGGAAAGGGCAGTCAGGCCTTGGCAGGGGCTGCCCAGGGGGTTTGGAGTGTCCTGGGAATGACTGCATGTGGCACTCAGAGCACATACACAAAAACATTTAATAGCACTAAATATCGTCAATTTTACTTGATTGGGTTTTTTAGTTTTCTTTAGAGAGACACCCAAACCTTTAMTCAAACCTTGTCTTTAGAGAGACACCCAAACCTTGGTTTAGGCAAATCCTTTAGTCTGGATTTGCCTAAACCAAGTCTGGAAAATGAGGCCCCTGGTGGGATCCACCTGTTCTCATTCTGACTTGAGACATCATTTTCTGCACAAAGTAATCGAGGCAGGGAAGTTAATCTTTGACCTGTGAGATGTGACGAGCAGAGATGCCAATGAGGAAGTTGAAAAGGAGAGTGATGATGCTGGGATGTGCAACACACGATCAGCTCCAGCAGGCACAGATCATGAACCAGACAGCACCAACAGCAACCAGAGAGCTGCACAGACTGCCCAGTGTGTGCAATAAAGTGCACAAAGCAGGAGAATGATAACAAAACAGATAATATGGCAATTGCTGCTCCCCCTCTGCTCTGAGCMGTTTCCTGTCCTGCTGGGGCTSTGCAGTGCCAGGAGCTTTTCTAGGTCAGCACTGACCGGGAGCTGAGGCCAAACACGTGAGCCCAGGCGGGCACACAGGGGGAGGGCAGGCACAGAGGAGCCCTCCAGGCTGGGATCAGCATTCACAGGCACCAGGGGATCCTCAGCTGGGAGCAGGAACACTCGGGATCACAGACACCAGGACAGCTTTCTGCCCATGGACACAAACCTGCACCTTCCCCAACTCCAGACTGCAAACCCAGCACTGAGCACCATGGCCTTCAACAGCAAAAAAAATTAAAAATAATGTAATACTCATCTGCTTTCCTTTGCCTCAGCCCCTCTCTGCCATCCCATCAGTTCAGGTCCTTTCCCCTTGGCTGATCCCAGCTCCATGGTCCATCCTTTGTTCCAGCCTGTTTACCAAGCCAGGCCAGCTCGGGAAAGGAAAATCAACCYCGCTGAGCTCAGCCCAGAGCTGCTTATCTGCAATTGTTACACAAACTCCCTCCTCAGAGTTCCCATCGACTTTTTGGGAAGCTTTGAACAGAAAGGGCAGGCTAAAAGAAACCTTTCTTTCGAGGAATACCAGAGGTAATACATTAAGGTAAAGCAAAAGTACCGGTTTTTTTGGGGTTTTTTTTAAAGCAATGCAACTTTTAAATTCAGCATTTTAAGCAAGCCAGCCTTTGCCTTAGCTCATGCAGGCACTTTTGCTGCTCACACAAAAGCAGCAGCGTGCAAATGCTGTGTGAGATGAGCAAAGCAGGTCCTGCAGGCAGGAGAGGTTAAAAGAGCAGAGACACAGCCCGTGCTTGGTGAACCTGCTCCTGACTCACAGCACCAGGGCCAGGAGACAATCAGCTGTCTCTTTTAATTGTGAAGCTGCAATGTTATCACGAGCTGAGCACATTTGCCACTGTGGGCAGTTCCACCCCACTGCATTTTGGAAGGCGTTGGTTCAGCTCTCGCACGTGGCAGAACAGGTAATCCCCAGCCCTGCTGCCTTTGCAAAGTCTCCCCTGCAGCAAAAATGAGTCTCAAACGTTCCTGCCCTCCCACAGCTTTTCCCATCCCTTCAGAGCTTGGTGAACAAGTGTTTGCTTTCTTTCTCTGCACTCCCGAGCACTGTGCAAGGAGCACCTCGATCAGCAGCTCCAGCTTTGGAAAGGCACAGCTTTGGGGTTCTCAGGCTCTCTCCTGGAGAGAGATCTCATCTCTTTTGTCCTCTGTATCCTCCCCAGGCCAAAATGCATTTGCTAGTTCAGGTTCAAGAATCACAACCTCAGTCCTTTTCCATTTCATCAGGGCTGTTCTCAGAACTGTTTTTCTTTACTCTTTATGGGAAGGTATTCATCCCTTTTCTATGCAGCCAGCATCTTCAGGCACTGGCAATTTGACAACTTAATACTCTTTTTTCCCTTTGTAGGATGATCACAGTACAAAAATGATTGCACATGGTCCTGTCATTCTGTTCTAGTGTGGTAATCAACATCCCTGGAACGTACCAACCCCTGCACCAAACCCAGCTACTCCCAAGGAATGGATCTGGGACTCCTCCACAGTTCCCTCATCCCTGGTGTTTAAAGTAATGAACTAAAGCTGATTTTACCTCCTGGATTCAGGTCCCTGGAGGGAGACAGMATGCTGCCCCTTGAACTCACTTTTYRGGASACAAAAAGCTTTYTGCCAGAAAAACTGAAGCACCAAGTGTGAAAAAGCCATCCCAAAATTTATTCTCAAAAAATGTCAACAGAAACGCATCAGTAGATAACTCAAAACTACAGAATTCTTCCAAGTCATACATTCACAACGTAGAAACGTGACAAGTGGGATGCCTTTAGCGTGGCCTAGGTAACAATATCCATTTTACAGTGTAAACAGGTACTGGGTATGTTCTTACTCACAAGTCCAGCWGGAAAGGCACAACTCGGCGTACAGAGATCATCAACAAGATTCAGGTGCAACAACATCACACAAACTTTTGGTAATCTGCATTTCTGGGGCCTTCCACAACTGAGACTGGACTTGAAGATTTCCTGCAGTCGACAGCCAGGTTTCTTTCCATCCTTCAGTCCTTGAACTCCTTTGCAGGCTGGTTCAGATCCCATTACACATCCAGTTCCAGCAGGCRTTGAGGAATTGTGAAAGGTCAGTCCAGCAACTCTGCAGGTGCTTCCACTAATAATACAACAGGGTTTGGTTTCACATAGTGCATGGAAGCATCTGCTTGAATCTCAGTCATTACAGTGGTCATTAATAGAAAAATAGACACTACAACTACAAAAGGAAAAAATGAGGTAGATAACTTAGAATCCAGATGACTATCCCAGCAACCTTCATACAACACACACGGATCATTAATAACCRTTTTGGTAGAATGCAARCTCACAGACCACCAAAAAAAACTTAAYGACCAGAGTAGGAATGCCATCCAAAAACCCACAAAACATTTAACCTAAGCATGAATACTTCATATTTAAATACAGGTTTACACAGAACGATCTCCTAAATTACCCAAATGAAAAAAAAAATAAAATAAAAACAAAAAGTCTCTTGCTAAGGAAACCAGTTCCCATGGCAAATTGCAACAGTTACCTGAGATTCCTTGCAGAGCTTTTAGACCTGACTTCCCAAGGCAAGTCTTCCCTTTCAAGAGGAAACAAAAACAACAAAAAAAAAGTATATACATACCCACCCATGCATGTTTGGGGCTCTTGGTATYGAAATAAAACATCTAGGAAAAACTGCCCATCTTTGGAAGCAGGAATTTTGGCACTAWGCTTCAAGGACTGTCCTAGTAGTAGTATTAAATAAGCAGCAGTTAACAACACAAAGAATTAATTACTTAGGAGCAGTGACTAAAGAAAAACAGCAACTTGCTTTTCATAGAACTTCTGAGGCAAAAAAAAAAAAACAATTAAAAAAAAAAAGTTTGTAGTTTTTATAGCCATTCTTAGGAAAAAGTACATTCAGAAACCACACAGAGCCAAAAATCCAAACAGAAAAACTCTTTCTAAGAGGGTGGCAGACATTCTAGGATATTTACCCGCATTAATAGTTTCCATTTCTCATCAGTAAATAGAAGCTTCTCCAKCAACAGTAGGTTGTTTCCACTCTATTCAAAACCCCCATTATCACTCTAAACAAAGAGGTAAATATTCTAACCTTTGGAATTTCAAGTTGTAGAAACTTCTGTAAGGCTGTACACATTAAARTCACATGTAAGAACTACTTTGCAAGACCCGCATCTTTCCAAATAGAAGGAAATCCTATTCTTTATTAATTACTATTTGCAAAGCAATATCATGATTGTACTCTGGGCAACTCTTACAAAGACAACCATAAAATCATTTGCACGTCAATAGGAAAATAGGAGGCCGAAGTGGAATCTCTCAAAAATATACGTTTGTGTCTATATATATTTGCTCTTTGTGTAGGTCATGTCCTTGTGAGCCTTTAGCTCACGGCGATTTTGCTCTCCTCCAGGAAGTGAGGGAATTGGTGTTTTGGCACATTGTCTGCAGCAGCAGCGCCCGTTTTCTCCGTGTCAGAGCCGGCACCAGCCTGAGCCCCGTCCTTGGCAGSCGGGGCAGTGTTCAAGGGCGAGCCCCCGGGCACGGGCACGGGCAGGGCCCCGCTCTGGATCACCGAGATCTCGTTGGCTTTCACGGCCAGCCCGTTGCTGAGCACAGCCGCGTACTGGTTCCACACGGCGGGGTCGATGCTCACCGAGGGTGCCACCATGTCCTTGGGGAACATCTCYGACACCTTCTTGGGGTCGTTGTTGCCCAGCAGGGCCATGGGGTTATCGATGGACAGCCGCCGTCCCCGCCGCGCTGAGTTGTTCCACATGTGGGTTCCTACGTGGACCTTCCAGAGGGAGGGGGAAAGCAAATTAATATCATCATTAATGTAGGGGCTCTTTGTGGTGCACCCAAATTCCACTCTGCTTGCAGCCAAGTGGCCCAAAGAAGTCAGGCTTGCTCCATTTGTATTCGGGGAGATATTTGAACTGGGCAGCTCCTGTCAGAAATATTTGAACTGGGCAGCTCCTGTCAGAAATATTTAAACTGGGCAGCTCCTGTCAGAAATATCTAAACTGGGCAGCTCCTGTCAGAAATATCTAAACTGGGCAGCTCCTGTCAGAAATATCTAAACTGGGCCTTTCCTGTCAGAGTTCCCTTTCTGGCACGTGTAAGACACAGTGATCCCCCTGCCTGGCATCGCCCTGGCTCTCTGCAGTTTGCTGCTGGAGCACTTGGAGGGCTGTGCTTTACACTCAGAACAGGAGGTGCTGGGCACAGACCCCCCTCCTCTGCTCCCAGAAGAAAAGCCAAGTTATCTGCTGCAAGCAGACTACTCTGAGAAAATACTGGAAAATGCAAACAAGCAGCAAGGAKTCTGGCAGAGAGGCTCACTGAGGCTGGAATCCTGCACACCACGTTCTGCTGGTGCTGCCAGCAAGGCACTGCTCACACACTGCAGGGTATTTWATTTTCTCTCCCCATCAGGACTGAAGAGCCTGAAGAGGTTCTCACAGGGAGGGAGAAGCCTCTGTGCAGCTGAGGGAGCTGAGTCCCTCACAAACCAAACGGATTCATCTGGCAAGAGCACAGGATGGCAGCAATTCTCCAGCGTGTGCTCAGACACAATCCCTGAGCACTTTGTGCCACCTCAGGATTATCCTGGTTTATCCCTCCTCATCTCCCAAAATTCCAAAGCAGGGCACTGTAATGCATTCACTCCGCAGGCAGCATTTTGTATCGTTCAAAGACATGCTTATGTCTTGACACATCCAAATCCAAATTAAAAATGAAATCAATCTGCTTAGTAAGGGCTAAGCCTCCCCTTCCATCCCAAAAGAAAAGTCAAGGACAGGAGCAAAGGCCTGTGGGTGATCTCAGCTAACATTTATACAAGAAATTGTGTGGAGAAACTCAACAGGGAGACAAGAGTCAAAAGTATTTGAGGAACTAAAGAAAATCCTTTAACTCAGCAAGGAGACAAGAGTCAAAACTATTTGAGGAACTAAAGGAAATCCCTTCCACCTCCAGCATGAATTTCACAGACAGAAGATGACAAGATGGGGACCCACCTTGAGGTTTCCCTTGGTGGTGAAGGCTCTCCCGCAGATGGTGCAGGCGAAGGGTTTCTCTCCGGTGTGGGTGCGCTCGTGGATCTGCAGGGCGCTGGCAGACGAGAAGTTCTTGCCACAGGTAGTGCAGATGTGCTGTTTGGCGGGACGGCAGAACTTGGGGCGCGGCACCAGCAGCGGGGCCACCCCTGGGGACAGCGCCGGGGGACCGATGAAGTGGCCAGTGCTGAGGGGACGCTCGCTGGGCAGCTCCATTTTGATCAGGGCTGGTGGGGCTCTGACAAAGGCAGTTGGAATACTGCTGCGACCTGGGAAGAAAGCCGAGGTAACGTTTATGCCAAGCTCAGTCTGGGTCTGAGTTTGAGTCTGGCTCAGACCCCAGATGCCCTGCCTTGGAAGCTGCACACCTGCAGAACCCACCCCACTGCCCAGGACACCCCAAAACAAATCAGTTCATCCCTGTGTTTTCTGGTGAGCTGGAAACAGAAGGTATTTCAGGTCAAATTTACATCAACCTTAACTGCAAAGAGCCTGAAAACCCCACAAAGGAACTCAGAGTTTGTGTCACATTCTTGGGATAAGCAGCTTTCCCACAGAACACCAATGTATTTCTTTAAAGAGCTACGAGGAGGTATCAGGTGAGCCCATGAAAGGTAGAAAAGGGCACAGTTTCTGCTAATTTTAAGGACCAGTTTCTGTTAATTTTAAGGACCTTGCAGGAGATGACAGCACTTTGAGAATCATTCAATTTTGGGCCTTAGTCAGGAAAACTTTACAGGGCCTATGCCCTTATCCAGACAGAGGAGCAGGAAGAGGGGAAACTGAGGAAGTTTTGCTTCCCATGGTCCTTTCAGAGACTGATCTCCCACTGCCCCACCCCAAACCACTGCCAGCCCTTTGCATCGCTCACCATATTCTCCGTTGGCAAAGTGTAACCCGGGCTCCTCTTTAATCACCTTGCGGCCGATGTTGCCGTACGTCAGATCCAAAGCTCCCACAACCCCTTCCACCTCCACAGGAGCRCTCTCAGGCCCCTCGGATTTACTCCCCGTGCCCAACTCCTCCTGGCTGGGGAAGGCAGGGGACTTGGAGCTGACGCTCTCAGCCTGGCTGTTGGCCGGGGACAGCGCCTGCAGCGACGCGGCCTCGGAGGCGGCGGGGCTCCGGCCGTTCTGGTACTCGCCGTCTCCGGCCACGGAGGACGAGTCGTTGGTCAGGCCATCGCTCTCCGCGGAGTTGTCGCTGGATTTCAGGCTGCTCTGGCGCTGCAGGCTCAGAGAGGAGCTGACCACCTTCATCTGGCTCTCCAGGGCCGTCACCCCGGAGAAGGCGGTGGCCGCGGCGGGCGACTCTGATTGTGCATCGTACGGGGTGGGAGGYTTGGAGGAGCTCCTGGGGCCGTCCTGAGAGTCCACGTCCTCTTCCATGTCTATGCTCTCCACCATCTCCTCGGGGCGAGCGCTGTCCCCGTTCTTGTCGGCCCCAGCGGGCTCCAGGTCGGTGCTGTCCCCAGCAGCTTCGGGCAGAGGGGTGTTGGGGATCTGCCCRCCCATGTGCATGCGGATGTGCTGCTGCAGCACCACGGCGTTGGTGAACTTCTTCTGGCAGATGGGACACGAGTGCTGCATCTTCAGGGGAGTGTTGGCCCGGTGCACTCCATAGTGGGTTTTTAGGTTCCCTTTGGTGGAGAAGGCACGGCCGCAGATCTTGCACTTGAAGGGCCTCTCGCCGGTGTGAGTGCGGTAATGCATTTTGAGCGAGCTCTGGCAGCTCAGCACTCTGTGGCAGATCAGGCACTCGTTGGGGTCGGCAGTGGATTTGTCGATGTTTTCCACCAGCTGCTGCAGCTTTGATGTCTCAGAGCCCTGCTCGTTTGACCCACTTACGTGGAAGATGCTCACGCTGCAGGCAGCTTGCGGTGAGCTCAGGCTCTGCTCCGTCCCCGACTCGTGACCGACCGCCCCCGACGAGGAGGAGCCGCCCTCGCTGTCCGGGGAGGGTCTGCACTGCAGATCGCTGGAGAACGGACTGGGCAGGGGTTCCTTGATGCCTGCCAGGCTGGACACGGCCTGGGGCGCGGCCGAGGCCGCAGAGGTAGGCAGAGTTGTTAGCAGAGGTTTGCTGTCCACAATCAGGTTGGACTCATCCAGCGGCACGGACATCCCGTACGGGATCCCGGTGCTGGTGGGAACATTGTCCAGGTGCTCGGGAACCGGGTACGGGTTCATCTTGATGTGGGGGTACTTGTCCTTGTGCCGCTGGAAATGCACTTTGAGGTTTCCTTTGGTGGTGAAGCGGTTCCCGCAGATGTTGCATTTATAGGGCCGCTCCCCGGTGTGGGAGCGGAGGTGGATCTGCAGGGCGCTGTCATTGCCGAAAACCTTCCCGCAGAACTTACACTTGTGTTTGAAGAAGGGCTCCTCGGTGGCGGGCTTGCTTTCCGACACGCTGATGTTGGGGGGCTTCCCCTTGCCCTTCTTGGAGGAATCCATCACGGAGGAAACGGCCGACAGCGGGTTCTGGAAGATGACCGAGCCGGAGGACTGAGGTAGCAAAGGGTTCGGGAACTGCGAGATGGAGCCGGGGAGGCCTCGGCTGCCCTCGGGCTTSAGGGGGAAGGAGGAGGAGAGCCCGGCAGCCAGCGAGCCGGCGGCTGCCATGCCAGGGCTCGAGTGAGGTAGTTTGCCTTGCTTCAAGGATTCCAGCGATAGGCTCTGGCTCCCCGCTTTCTGCCCGATCAAAGCCACGGCCGCCGAGAGCTGCTGGGACATGTGTGCGCCCAGCGCCTTGAGAGGGTCAGCGGCRGCGGCCAGCGAGGGGTGCAGGGCGTGCGGGGCCATCATGGCGATCTGGATGCGGATCTGCTCCGTCAGCTGGATCTGCTGCAGCTGCTGCTGCTGCAGGCACACCAGCTGCTCCAGGATCATGGGGATGGCGTTGAAGCCGGCCGCCGAGGACGAGATRGCGTCGGACGCCCGCTGGTTGACGGCCACCTTGGTGCCGCGGATGGTCTGCAGCGTCACGTTAGTGTTGGGGACTTTGGCTTTGGGCAGGTAGCTGAGGCCGGGGGCTGCGGCAGTGATGGGGGGCTCTATTTTCAGGTACATCCCTCCCACCCCGTCAGCGTCCAGCTTTCCTTCTCTCTTGTCCACGGAAGCGGCGCAGCCCTTTGTCTGAATGTCCTTGCGTGTCCGGCCGTCCATCCGCTCGCTCGGGAACGGCCCCAGAGTGGCCTCGGGGAAGCTCTCGGGGGGAACCGTTCCCTCAGCGTCATTCATGATCAGAACAGGCGGGTTTTTAGTGCAATTTTTCTTATGCTCAAGGAATTCGGAGAGAACAAAGAATTCTGCACAGCATTTCTCACAGATTTTGGTTTCCTCAGTGCGGCACCTTTTGGAACTCATTTCACCATCTCTATCACCTGGGACGTCTTGTGGACTCCCTTAAAATAAAAGAAAATCACATTATTAATTGCTAGGTTTAGACACACCACTCACCATTAAGATCACCAACTCCACCTGAACTGCAAATTAAAGATACAAGACACTGAATCAATTTTGCAGATTAATCTGAAGTTCAGCTCTTTGTTTTGATACCAACTCCTTTGCAACCCCAAAGAAATCTGCATCTCAGAATTTCAGGTTTTCAAGAAAAAACATAATATGAAAGAACTCTCAGGAGGCTCAATGAAGAGGTTTATCCCAAATCCCTTTATATAGGTTAAAAAAAGGAACAGTCTAGCAAGGCAACACCTGTAACACAGCTTAAAAGGAAAAGAAGGCAGAGAAAGCGTCGTGGCACTGAGCAAAACACCACAGGAGCTTATTTGGTGTTTGCACTTCGGGTTCTAACTCTTCATTTATCATTCTCAGAAATTCTCACTGATTGTTAACCCAGGAATTCTGAACAATTCTTAACTGTACCGATCTAAACAACCTTTCACAATTATGAAAGTAACTATGAGAGAAGAGGGCTGACAAACGCAAAGCAAGGCCAATATTAGCTCTTAAATCCTTCAAAAGCATACACACCCCAAAAATAATCTCCACAAGCTCACAGCAGCAAACAGGACACGATTAACTTGCAGAACTCCACACAGATAGGAACCTACATTGATACTGAGGATTATTTAAAGTTAATCCAAGTTACAATCCCGCTTGCAAAGTCACACCATTGCTGATTCTCTCAGGAGGCCTCGCTCAGCTGCATCCACAACTCACCCACTTTTGGGAAGGGGCAGGGAAAGCCAAGCTGAGCTCCAAATCCCCTCCTGCCCTCCCACCACCAGCACCCCACAGCTCAGACTGAGAAAAATTTGCACGTGGACAAAAAAAAAAAATTCGGGGAAATATCTGAACTAGAAGAGGTTAAGAGAAAATATAACCAAAACAGGATGTTTTTGCTCAGCCTTGCCATGGTTCAAACACCAAACTCACACCCAGCTCGGGGCAGGGCAGCGCTCAGGACAGGAGGGGCAGGAGGGAAAGCTTCCCTTGGAGGGGCTGAAACATCCTGGAGCCCCCAGTGTGACTGCTCCAGTTCTGAGGGGTGMCAGGGGGGCACAGCAATTTCACCTTCCACAGCCCCAGCAGAGCCCAGTGGAACTGTGTCACACACATGTCCTCTCCAGTGCAGCTCTATGGGAATGGTGTCACACATGTGTCCTGTCCATCAGGAATGGTGTCACACACGTGTCCAGCCCAGCACTCCTGGAACAGTGTCACACACCTGTCCTGCCCATCAGGAACAGTGTCACATACCACTCCTATCCATCAGGAATGGTGTCACACACGTGTCCAGCCCAGCACTCCTGGAACAGTGTCACACACCTGTCCTGCCCATCAGGAACAGTGTCACATACCTCTCCTATCCATCAGGAATGGTGTCACACACGTGTCCTGTCCAGCCCAGCTCTCCTAGAACAGTGCCACACATGTGTCCTGTCCTGCACAGCCCATCAGGAACGGTGTCACACACCTGTCCTGTCCCACCCATCAGGACAGTGTCACACACCTGTCCCACCCATCAGAAATGGTGTCACACACCCATCCTGTCCTGCCCAGCCCTCCTGGCTCCAGTCCATCCCCAGCTCACCCCCTGGAACAGGTGAGGCTGGGACTCTGCAGGTTCAGGAGCTCTTTGCAGCTTTGGAGTGAAGGTGTGACTGAACCATGTCCAGGTGACAGCTCCAGCACACGATTGTGCTGTTTGAGGGGTGTAGAACCTCTCTAAGGGAGGATATTGCAAACCGATATTGCAAACCTTGACATTTCTYAGCTCAACTAGGGCACTCTGTGCATTCAACAAAGCAAACTTCAATCGTTTAATGCTGTAGGACACAAAGTGTGTGTGAAATTTTACTTTTAAAAATAAACATTCGATCAATTACAAAAATTTGCAGATTATCAGAGGCATGCTCTGTTATGAACTGTAGAACAGTAAATCCAAATCTGCACAAGTCCTTGAACGGGGAGGAGAGGAGGTCTCAGCACAGCTATGATCAAAAATGTTTGGATGCCTCCCATTTAAACAGGGAGAATTAAACACTTCCCCTTCAATCCGAGCAACTTCCACAAGTGTAAGGAACAAGAACAGCAGCATACATYTCCCATCTCAAATATCACTGAAGGGATGTCTCTAAAATGGATTAAACTCTACAGGAAAACATACAGAGAAATCTAGGCTGCCAAAAAATACAGCTAGTACATGAYTCACAACCTGGGCAACAGAGCCAACCAGCACCAACAATAATTACTGTTTATTCATTTTGCAGGAGTCTGAGCAAATAAAGTAGCTACGTTGAAAAAAGATAATTTTCAGAACTACTCTACACTGATTTAAGTGGCCTTTACTTTCCTATTTAATAGAATACACTGAAACATGAAAATCTCTTCTCCAAACCCTTTAGGATTTGGGGCTTTCCCAGTCCCATCTCCCAGGYGGAACGGTTTGCACATTACAAAATACGACAAAAATAAGCTCAGCTTTACTTTGGTGCAGAAATGTCTGCACCCAAGCCTGCTGCCCTCTCCCAAGGAGATATTCCAGGATAATGTCCAGACAAGTCCTCAAACTTTAAGTGCTCCAAAGCATCTGACATTTATCTCCTTTCCCTTGATAGTASTTCTTATTTTTCTACTTCTGCACTGGAAAGATGGCACTAAATCCAATGTTCCGTTTCCAACCTCCAGCACAGCCCATACTCCTCATTTCATAATTTTCATAATTCTGAGCAGCTCTGGTAACTCCTCTGGTTCTAAGCAGCAGTTGCCATCTCAGAGAAAKAAACTGCAGTGAAAAATTTGCTGCATGACAAACAGTGAAGTTATGCCTTATTTACACTTTTACCTTAAAAAAAGTAACTATCTTATTATGTTTCACAAGCAGTTTTACATAAATTCACAAGCAGGACGCTGGGTTATTTTACAGCAGCTGGAATAATTGTTTCTGTAAAAGACCCAAGAGCTTCTGTGAAAATCATCTTGATTTGTAACCAGCTCCTCTTTCCAACCCTGAGTGCTGCAATCAGAGCACCTCAGCACCCAAAACCCCGCAGCCACCACCAAATAAAATAACACAGCCACCACCAAAATTAAATAACGGCCTGAACTCAGGGCTTTCCATGCCAGGAGGGCAGCTCTGCCCAGACTGCACAAGGATTTACCGAGGACAGCCCTGCCACAACAATCCCTCGTGCACTTCACTTAACCCTCTCCAAAGGCTTCCCAGGGATAGGACTTCTACTGTGTTTTTTTTTATCTCCCCACCCCCGAATTTCAGGAATGTTATCTCTCAGCATCTAGTTATCCAATAAGTTAGAAGAATGCAGTAAACCCAGCAGGGGGGTTAGATTGAATCACTGGCAAATGGATGGAAAAAATCCACTATTGTGTAGGACAAGGCAGTCATCGACAAGGGAGGCTGATAAAATCCACACCGCTCGAATTAATTTTTTTTTTTTAAGGGAAACAGTAAAAGGAGTGAAGTAAATCTGATTTGAAGTGATTTCAAGAAGGGTGCTGCTGGTCTATCACTTATCTAAACCATTAGCAACCTTTTTTTTTAACTTTATTTCACTAGAATTGGGATGAAACAGAAGCCACTTTTATTCCAGAAGTTTTAATTCCTTTGGTGAGCTTACTTTCCCCACAGCCTACTTCTGACCAACTAGTTTTACTCTGAGATTAACAAAGCCGGGCACTTCCCCGGTAAAATTAACTCATGGAGGATTAATTACCACCCCTCCACTCTGTGTGAACCCTCTGCCAGCAGCTCCCTGCTCTCTCCTCGTGATTCCCCGATGCTTTTCTGCTCCCAGCTGCTGAGAGAGGACTTCAGGAACTCCAAACTCCTTCTCCCCCTACCAAACACCATTTAACGCATTTTAGCGATGACAAAATCGCTTCCGTGAGCAGGAAAGGACAACTTACAGAGATATCTCAGTTTTCTACACTGAATTCATCAGCCGCGTTTTTCCACCCAGGAGCGAGGCTGAAACGCGTTATACCTACAATCAGCATTTCATARGCTCCATCTCAGGGCTTGAATTATTTTATTATCTACTCACTGATTCACYCTTTAGATAGCCACAACCTCGAGCCACACATTCGGCCACAGACACAGCAACTCGCGGCGAATTAGCGGCTGAGACGAACAAAATAAGCGCTGAAA